TTTTTTTCCGACGGAGCAGTAACTCGTATGCAGTTTTCCTCTTGTTTTCGCTGCTCCTTCTCAAAACATAATTTCTAAAGATACGATAACTGGGCCGACGTCTTCACCCCTGGCCCCCCTGCGGCCGACGCTGCTCAGTATATCGCTAGCCAATCCGGTATCATGGCGCAAGCATCGCCGAGGTATGACACTTCACAGATCATCCCCCGATCAGTTCTCTAAGGGCCGGCAGGCTCAACTTTTGGCAAGCACTGGGCGCAACAGACGGGACGACACGATGGGTGCGAACTCGTTCTCGAATTGTCTTCGAAGTAAAACTTCAACTTGTGTAACAGATGCAAGGAACCGCTCGCCCGGGCGCTGCCTCCGTTACGACTAGTTACCCGTATAACGCAACGTATGTTGAGTTTTTTTTACCTTCGTATACACTGACGCCATATCCTCGTAGCCAAATGTTCACAATAACAGCATATCTGTGAGTGTCAAAATTAGTCAAACCTATACTTGGTTCGATTATATTCATCTCAACAGGTCCGCTGGAATCAAATCTCGAGGACGGCTGGGTATCAACGCCGCTCTTACCGCCCTTCCTCTCGTCAATCCTTGGCTGGTGGACCCAGTTGATAAATCGACCCTGATCACAGGTCTTAAGGACATCGTCTCAACTCTTTCTTTAGGTACACATTCCTTTTCAGTTCGATACGATTCACTCACCATAACCAGTTCCTGGATTGGTCATGATAACGCCCGACAACACCACGACAATTGACGCATATGGTATTTCCCTTCGCACTTCTTTCGTTCATAGCTAACTTGGATTCGAACAGTCAACAGTTACGATCCGGTGAGTGTTCTAGAATTTATTTATTCCATTTGGACGACATCGCTCATCCATTTGGCAGGCCACCATGGATTCCAACCACTGGATAGGATCTAACATCATTGGGCCCGCTGGCCAGGGAGTCGTGGATGTGAACACAAAGGTTTACAACACGAACAATCTGTTCGTGGTTGATGCGTCTATTGTGCCTACACTGCCGTTTGGAAATCCACACGGTCTTGTCATGTCGATGGCCGAACAGGCGGCGGCGAAGATATTAGCATTAGCTACTTAGGGCATGTGAAGTAATATAACATTGACACACGCTCAGATCAAGTCAACTTTCTTTCTTTGCTCAAGACGTTGTACCTCGTGAATACGCAGGTCTACGCGCGTAGTTTGCCCCAACCAAAGTACATACATACGGCGGGCTAAGATCCACAGTAATTGCCGATCACTTCTGGACCTTGTAACCGAAAAAAAAGTCTCCCACGGTTGAAATTACCTATTCAGGGGTTCTAGGTTCGTAGATTCCAACGGTTGACCGCCGGAACCGCATATAATAGGTATGCTCTGCTCACTTATAATTTACACAGGTTCCGTGGCTTCAGACTCGCTGCCGCGTCTGAGTTGTAAAGGAAAAGTGTATTGATCTTACAATAACGAATACATTATCAAGTAACGGATAGAAACGGTAACGAGCAAAAAAAGATAAAAGGGAAAGAGAACTTTTAACGTGCATTTGGCTTCCGCACGCAAGTGGTGGCTAGCCAAATGCGCGCGTACTAAGCCCGGGGCCCACGGCAAGGGAGCACGAGGATGTAGCAAAGCTAGCACCCATCCCCGGGAAGGAAACGACCCACCTTTGGACTCACCGGCGGATGAAAACGTGAGAACGCCCTGAAGACTTGAAGCTTAAGGCATCCTAAGGTCTTGGGAGCCAGCGTCTTGAAGCTTGAAGTCTTGAATGTCGAGCCTGAGTTATAATATCTTGAGCGTTGGAGCGTCTTGAAAATCTTGCTGGCCCGATGACTTGAACTTGACGCTTGAAAATTTGAGGCGTCTTGAAGTTTTCTTGATGCTTGAGGCGTCTTGTCGCTGCAGCCTTGAGGTATTACAGACAAGTCAAGAGTCTTGCGGCCGAGGTGGCTTGAAGCTTGAAGTCTTGAGGTGTTTTGAAATTGATGCACCTTGAACTTTGGGACGTCTGCAAGTTGAACATTGAACCTCAAGGCATCTTGAAGACTTGACGGTTGCATGAATCTTGAAGGGTCTTGATGCGAAGTGTTCTATTGAGGTCTTGAGCGGCTTGAAGGAAGGTATCGAGGCGAGATGAGGAGTTCGTCAACTCGTAGGCGGCTTGAAGACTTAGTCACTTGGGGCGAGACGAGAAGCTCGTAAAGGCCTTGAAAACGCGAAAGCTTGAGGCGGGTCTTGACGGCGAGTCTCAGGTCTTGGGCTTTATAACTTGAAGTTGAAGTATTTAACAGAGGACACAATACTGGCCACGGCGAGCACGCCAGAATGTCTTGAGCTTTATCACTTGAAGTTGAAGTCTTGAGCAGAGGACACAATTCCGGCCACGGCGAGCACGCCAGAAGGTCTTGAGCTTTATCGCCTGAAGCCTTGAGCAGCGGACACGATTCTGGCCACGGCGAGCACGCTAGAACGTCGGTGTCGTTGTACATGCTTTGAAGGCAGCCCTGCGACAGCGACACAACGCGTTAACGCGACCATAGACCCAGCGAGATGGACACCACAGAGCGAGGGAAGAGAAAGCGGAGAAGAAGACTCGCCGAGGAGATGGTGGGAGTCGAGAGACAAGAGGGATGACCAATGAACGCGAAGTTGGCTGACCTTTTATACCTCGACCGGCAACTTCCGTACTATGCGCTTTGGCTGCTTTGAATTTCAACCGAGGCGGTGCGAATTCCGAGAACAACGTGGCATGTTGACGTTGTTCCGCACTGATATCCGCGGAAGATCTGCGCGCACAAGCTCTTTCTAAGAGCGCGACTGGGCGGAAGAACTTGCAGGCAGCGAAAATCGAGATGTAAGTAGACGGAAGTGGAGAATGGTTGGAGCTATCGAACGACAGTCGAATTTAGCAAAACACAGTGCCGATGATGAGCATGGCGGTAGAAAGCGCGCGTGAATGGTGGCGGCGAGACGCGAAGAAGTGGTTGATGTGAAGCGTATCGGGTCACCTGACCGCGAAAATCTCACGACCTGGCTCCGAGTTCCTGAGCCTCAGAGCTGCTTTGACTTGACGCAACTCCGTTGCTTGTACCAAGCTTGTACTCGTTCAAAATGGACCGCCGAGGCCTTTAGTCGAGTCGCCACCAACTTGAGACCCGAATCACGGACAGACCACCTTTCCCTCCATCCGGCTCATTGGCCAACGTTCCTTTATTCGTCTCCGAGCGGCATTGCGGATTCCGGAAGCGTGCGTGGTGTGTTTTGTTGTGCCTTTGCTGTGAAGACCAGGTGATGCTAACTTCTTTCGTTCTAGCGGTACGCTCCTTCTTTCGCCATGGGCGAAGTCTCTGATAAACGGTCGCAGCAAAAGTATGCGGTTTCCTCGCTACTCGAGACGACCCTCCCCGAGGAGGTCACCGCGCACAATTCGCTGCGCACGACTCGCTATACACGACACGTTTTGGACCGCGCATGCAATTTACTTCAGTGATTGCTTCTTGAGGGACCTCGCCGCGCATGGAAGCGGTCGCTTACACATCGTTGCGAAGAGTTAACCACCTAACTCAGCACATCCGCCGCATTCTCAAGTTGCGTGCGCGCGCCGGCGTATTTGTCGTCCACTCAGCTCGACCGCACCTCTGAGGGACTCCTTCAATATATCGCACGCGTCTACCAGGATCGGCACGCGCAACGAGCTGCTCCCCATGTTCGGGTGGAACGCATGCTAGTCGCCGTAGAAGGGCGACGGCGGGAGGGGGTTGATGAGGTCGTCCGCGGACACGAAGAATGGCGCGATCTCCTCGATGTTCGAAGGGGCGGTTGCCCTTGAGCCGCAATGCGCGCGGTGGGTGTGGACGAGGACGGTGCGCCAGCTTGCCATCGTCCTGCCGTCGGAGCCAGGACGCCTTTGTGCTGGCCAATACCACCAAAGTGCCCGTGCTGTCAGCAGCGGGAGGGTCGAAGGCGGTACGCAAATCACGGCGTCGAAGAAGACATCAGTGGTCACTGCGACTGCAGCCGCGCGATTACAGCCTCAGAGATGAAGCTGGGGAGGCTAGCACGAGGTCAGTATAACGTCTACCTATGAAGCCGAGGCCGTCTGCTGATGCACCCTCGCCTTGCTGCTATCAAGGACATCGTAGAATTGGGCGTCAGTTGTATGGCTGCACACATATATGGCGGGGAGTAGCGCGAGAGCGAGTCGACGACCGTCGCCGTTCCCACTAATTCTGTTTGTGATCTATCTCAAATGCACCATACTTGGCATCGCACCGCGCATGCTGGTTCCACCATCGACGGTGGGCGGCAGTGTGTACAAACGGTGCGTCCTCGACAGTTTCGACAGTCCAAGAGTAATTGTTTCGAATCGCAGCAACTGAGAGGTGCCCAAATTGCAAGTCCATCAATGCAAAAAAAAAAATTGGATTCAATTATGAAAGGACAATCTTTCGTACATCTCGATAACCTGTTCGTCGCTTAAACAATATTTCTGAGGAACCCTTTTAGCAGATCTCGCTGCAGGGCCCCAGTGTGAGTGAAGAAGCAAACATATAAGTATGCACGCACCAGCCATGATTCCGACCCGAATGTCATATCGCATAATAGTGCGATCTCCGTTTCCCTTGGTCCGCACCTCGACTGTAGAATGCAGAATAGTTGATCAGGTTTATAATAAAGTAAGCGATACGAAGAGGATAACAAGCACAGACCTTCACGATCGACTTCGGCCTTTCGAGCACGCTCTCTCCCCCCAGGTCTATGTGCTTTTTTAGTTTTCGACTTCTGAGATCGGGCGGACGACGAAGAGGGCGATAATTGGAAATGCTCGGAACGGTGTGACATGTAGGAATTTTTTTGTCTCTCACCTTCATTGCTGCAAGCGCAGTGGAAGCAAGGAACCCCTAACTAATTTCGAGTCATCATTTCCAGAGGTGCGTCGTCCGCCGGTCAATTTGGTGATCAAGCTCAGGCAGTTTGCACAGCATTAATGGGGTAGTGGTAACCTGGGTCGTTGCCAAGAATTGATCTTCAATTCGACCCGCCGGGGGTTCGATTCCCCCTTAATGCATATCATGCCGGATCCACAATTTTGATCATGGTTGAACGTTGAACCTTCGCCTCTCTTTTTTTGTCGGATTTCTGGCGCAAATTTTCCCAGCAATCTCCTTGAGTTGATCTGGCCTAAATCACAGGCGCCGCTAAGTTACTAGTAAGTATACGTAGTTGTTGAACTAGGTACTATTGTGGCTGTGCAGGTGACAGGCTGTGAGCCGAAACGTCACGAAATTTTGTAGTCTCTCTTCCACCACCACCACCGCCAAATGGTTCGTTCTGTGTGCTTCTCGTGTTGTCCGTTGCATCCAGCATCGTCATACGCGCAGTTAGACTACCAAATTTGCTGCTGGATGATGTGGATTGAGAAATTGACTTGTGGATGTCGTTTCCGTCCAGTTTTCATTTTCTGGTCCGGAGGCTTGGTTTTTCATGAAACTGACTCTGTTTCTAGCCGCCCAAGAAAGTCAAGGCCCCCAAGGAGGAAAACGTCGCCCTCGGGCCCCAGGTCGCGGTTCGTGTTTCGGTGTCCTTGTCTGCAACTTCGAATGCTCATTGCTTTGATTTCAGGAAGGAACGGTTCGTTTTCTCGGTTTCTCTGCTTGTCGTTCTGCATTCTGATTACTTGGCAGCCGGTGTGGGGTGTCGCTGTATGTCTTGCTGTTTCTTTGTGCTGGTCCAATCGACTGACCTGTATTCTCCAGCACATCTTTGCATCTTTCAACGACACCTTCGTCCACGTCACCGATCTGTCCGGCCAGGAAACCGTCTCCCGTGTCACCGGTGCGCTTCGTTGTCTGTCAACGCCTCTCGACTAAACTAACAACACGTCCAGGCGGCATGAAAGTCAAGGCCGACCGTGACGAGTCCTCTCCCTACGCCGCCATGTTGGCAGCCCAGGATGTTGCCGCGCGCTGCAAGGAGGCCGGCATCAACAGCCTGCACATCAAAATCCGCGCAACGGGCGGAACGGGCACCAAGACCCCCGGTCCGGGAGGTCAGAGCGCCCTCCGTGCCCTTGCCCGTGCTGGCATGGCCATCGGCCGCATCGAGGACGTCACTCCTGTCCCCACGGATTGCACTCGCCGGAAGGTGCGTTTTTTGAACTTGCTACCATTGCGAGTACATACTGATTGCCTTGTACCTTTTTCTAGGGTGGTCGCCGCGGTCGCCGTCTCTGAGACCAGTAAAATACCGTTTGTACGTAGATACAGACAACCAATGTCGCCGCTCGACGCGCAGCAGGTATACACCTGCCCCGCGGTCGTCACTTTTCAAAATATTGGTGATGCTTCATTTTAGCTGAGATATGGCTGGTCCGAATCTTGTCTCGCATAAGTTCAGTAAATTGATAGAGAATCTATGATCTTGAATCGGGCCCGGGCAATTTGAACTGGACATCGACATTCTGGATCGTCCTACAGCTCTGAATCGCAAAAACAGTTGCTGTTGAAAGTCGACAGCACCAATCGGTGGTGAAAAGAGTTAGCCCTCTAGTACTCTAGTGTCGCAGGGCAAAGTATTGATTGTGCTGGAAGACTTTCAACGACCTCCCTGTCTAAATAGTCTTGACTACATTCCTTGTCCAAGGACAGACCTAGAAGCGGTACAGTACATGCCATTAGACTAAGCAAAGTATACTTTTGAATATATCTTCGTCGAAATATCAGTACAGCACCGCGAGCACTACCGAACCGCAACTGCGGCTGCCTCGCCACCCTGCGGCACCGCGCCGACAGCCATACGTGAAATCGCGGTACCGAGCCCAGACGTGCGTAGATGCAGTCCGCGCGTTTTGTCAATGACCGTCTGGTAGACCGGGACCGCGGGTCGAAAGATCTCGATGACGTTCTGCGGGTGGGAGGTCAGCTTTGCCTTTGGAGAAGATGGAGGGACAGCGCACTTTATCTAAATCGATCTTGGCGTCGGCACCCATCCGTGACTCACGGATGAGGTTGACGATCCACTTCTCACCCTCGTCTGGGGACAGGTTCAGCCGCTCCGAGAGGTCCCTGCGGCGCTGTGAATCCAATGACCAGTGAAGGAATGAAAACGGACACGCACCGGATGTCGATCTTCTGGTGCGTCCGGCAGTACGCCTCGCTGATCAGATACCGCGCGTTGTCCAAAAAGTCAGCGCTGAACTCGCCGAGGAAAAAGTCGTCGCCAAGCACATGCTCCGCACGGCTGAGCTCCCTCTGCGCGGCCTCAAAGTCAAATTCGACGTAAAGCTCTTTGAGGAACGCGGTGATGGGGTCTTGGTACTGATATTCTTCCATCTGGACGACCTTGATGACCTCGCGGAGCGCGTTGCGTACGCGGGGGGACGCACCGGCCGGCGGTGCGCGCCCGAGGATGGCGGCGGCGGCGAGGTAGCGTAAAACCCAAGGGCAGGACGTCTGGATCGTGTTGAGATACACGGGGGACAGGAATGTCTCGAGGAGCAGAGTGCGTCCCTGCTCGTGGTTGAAGTACACGAAGAGCGACCAGTGGAGGAGCCACGTCCGGGAATGTAGCTGGTTTAGTGCGGGGCCAGGGAGTGATCGTGAGTCAATGGACTCGCGGAGGGTGTCGAGCTCCTGGAGGGCGGCGTCCCACTTTCCGGAGAGGATGTCGGAGGCGAGTTTGCCCCACTGGGCAGAGGTATTGAGGTCGTTGTCGGTGGAGAGTACGCGGAAATGGTACAGGTAGTCTGCTGCTCCGCTGTAGTTACTGCACAGAACATGAATTCAACAGTAAAAGCAACGAGCAGTTCAGATTACCAACCCGTAAGAGTATTGGAACTGGCCGAAGTGGTAAAGGGCGGTAATTTGGTCAAGTGTGAGCTGTATGGGAAGTGAGATGAATAAACGTCAAAACATAAGATGGATCCGCCGACGTTGTAATTGTCCTTCAGGTACTGGAGATTCTGCTCCTTGTCTTGTCGCAGAGCCTGAGCCACGTCGGGATTCTCAATGACATCCAGGACAGCTTGTGCTTCATCCTGGAGGCGCTGGTGCGTCAACAACGTGTTCTGGCGCTTTTCCTCAAATTCTAAGCAAAGTCAGCGGTGATTCAGAGCGAAGATCGGGTTGAATACCCTGCGGAACCTCTTGGTCTGGATATATCTGCGAAAAGAGGTTCGCGGCATAGTCGGGCATATTTGTGCCTTTTGCAAGCTCATACTGTGCAACCTGGACGTCCTGCACGGAAAACAGGTTCGTTTCTGAGAGATGGACGAGAAGAGGGAATGATAGATGCCGGTCAAGGTAGGGCATAATTCTCTTGGTGAGGTCGAATTCCGCCATGGTAGACTTGAGAGAGCAAAAATCTGCACAGCCACACATACCTTCCTATGGATGCACTCATCGCAAAAGCAGACGCGCTAGGCCCGCGCCAGAAAAAGCGGAAAATATTCCACGACTCGACCGAGGATTCGTTAAAGAAGCGTACCGGAGTCCCCAAGTCGCTGCAAGACAAGGATTTGGCTCTGAATGTCCCCGCACACAAACACATTGCAAACAAAAAATTGCGCACAGAGCTTGTACGGAATGCAACCCAGACTGCCCGTGCAAAGGCTTTGCTGGAGGATTCAGAAATGATGTTGGTTGAAGACGGGGGTCTTATGCAGGCGGAGGGAGAGCTCGAGCGGACATGGCGGGTTTCTCAGTCGGAAATCAAAGATGGCGCAGGACAGGACGCCGCTCGCGGCCGCAGGGAGTGGAAGCTCGACGGCGGGCCATACCGCTCACGGTACACACGAAACGGAAGGTAGATGGGTCCAAGATAGTCAACTAACGCGCTCACTGAACTATAGACATTTGGCGATTGTCGGGAGCATGGGCCATGCAGCGACGTTCGACTGGCTGACTGGCACATTAAATGCAGAGCTGCAGCTACAGGAGACGTGTCGAGACATAACGTGCGTCGAAACTTGCCGCCTTGAAAGTCTTTATAATTTATTTGGGCTAGGTTTCTACATGATCACTCGCATTTTGCCGTTGCACAGAAAAAATACGTTTTTATATACGACCGCGACGGCGTTGAGCTGCATTGTCTCAAGGCGCATATCGAGCCCACGCGACTCGAATTTTTGCCGTACCACTGGCTCCTCGCAAGCATTGTATGTTTTCTCCCCTTTGATCAACTTCGCTATCTACAACAGACACAGGGCAATGCAGGTTACCTCAAATACCAAGACACATCCACGGGCCAGCTGCTCGTCGAGCACCGCACAAAATTCGGCGCATGTAGCGCCATGACACAAAATCTCCACAACGCTGTTATTCACCTCGGGCACCAGAATGGCAGCGTCACACTCTGGACTCCGAACCTCCCGCATCCCGCGGTACAGCTACTTGCACACCTCGGGCCTGTCGCAAGCGTATCAGTCGACCCGAGCACGGGCGGGCGGTACATGGCGACCGCAGGGCGTGATAGCACAGTGAAGGTATGGGATTGTCGCAACTGGAAGGGCGCAGTGCGGGAGTGGTCGGCGCGCGGCGGAGCGGCGGAGGTTGAATGGAGCCAACGAGGCGCGCTGGCCGTTGCGAGCGGTGGGACTGTCAATGTATACACTTCCCCGATAATCCAGCAGCCGATGCACGGGAGTTCGCAGCCGCCGCTCTATCTCACGCACCCGATCCCGCATAGGCCGCTTACCTCTGTGCGTTTTGCGCCGTTCCAGGACGTGCTGACCGTCGGACACGCCGCTGGCCTGTCCAGCATCCTCGTTCCCGGCGTAGGCGAGCCCAACTTTGATTCGACTGAGGCGGACCCGTACGAGAACCGCAAGGCGCGCCGCGAGAAGGAGGTCAAGGCGCTGCTTGATAAGGTTCGTCATGCTCTTCTACTACTTATTTTGCGAACCAGCCTAACATGAGTTACAGATCCAACCAGATATGATCACGCTCGACCCAGAGTTGATTGGCTCACTAGCCCCAGAGCCGAAGCTATCGACAACGACGACGTTCGACGGCAAGCCTCCCCGTGGGGCCGAAACGCCGTTTGCAAGGCTACCGCGACTCGAGCGGCTGC